ACGAGGCCCAGAAGTTGGCAAAGTCGTCGTAAAGGGGGTGGTCTTCGAAGTGATCAATAAAATTTTGAACCGCCACCTCCCCCACAGACTTTAACTCCTCCCTCAGAGAGGCAATCTCCACTGACTGGGCCTCTGCTTGCTGCTTCAGCTCCGCCTTTTCTCTGTTGGAGGCCTCCAGGGCATCGGTGGCAAGCTTGTGGTGCTCGTTAGCGTGGTCAAGCCGCCGAGTCACCACAGCCACCTGGCACTCCACCTCATAGAGCTCTTTTTTCAGCCGCTCCACCTCCGCCTGCGAAGCAGCGAGCTGGACCTCAGCAGCTCTCTTTTCCTCCTCTGCTTTGGCGGCTTTGGCCTGGGCAGCTCGCACAGCGTCCCCGTAGTGCATCGCCTCCTCGAAGCGCTTGGCGAGGTCCTCCCTCTTGGAGTTTAGATCCTTCACCAAGCCCTCGAGTTGGATACTTGTGCTTAGTGCCCGGGCCACGCAGGCGCTGTTCACCGCCACCAAGTCTTCAGCAGTGCAGGAGGCGGTGTGGTCCCTCCACTCTTCGGTCCAATACTTGCTGTGGACCACCGCCACTGCAGCTGTTTCCGGAGGGAGAGCCTCCAGCACCTCCCTTACTGGCTCTTCTGAACTGGTGCCGAGGAAGTCAACTTCTTTGCTGGAGCGGGCCCTTTTCCTCCTCTGTTGCCCCGGAATATGTTCAATAGGTACGGCCGCAAGGGGCGCCGTGTCCGGGGCAGCGACAGGCTCCGTAGCAGTGGGGTTTCTCTCTGGGAGGGCCACCCCCGTGGGAATAGTTGTCTGCCGCATAACTGGGGGTGGCCTCGCCACAGTGGGGCGTCTGGGAGGGGCAGCACTCTTCTTGCCCTTCCTTCGGAGGTCAGCCTCCGGATCCTCCTGAACATCCTCCTCCGTCGGAGGCTGAAGTCTCTTACTGGCCTCCACCAGCTCCTCCATTTGCTTCTTATACGAAGAAGAGGAGGCCTTCAGCGCCCTTGCTTCAGCCATCATTTTCTGAATAGTTTTGAAGTCGGGGCGTACTGGCAGCTTCTTGTTGAAGTTATCTGCAAAGAAACGAATGAGGAATTAATACAAGTATAGGGAGTTCGGGTTAAAAGAGTGTGAGCTTCGGTCCTATTACCTTGGGACGCCATTAAGTCGTGAGTGATGAAGTGTATATTTTTCCGAATCAGCCTGTGATATGACCTCTTCTTCTGAGGCAGCTGATAAATAACACAGATAGTGTCGAAGTCCTCTGTCGATAGCTCGCACCGAGGGAGGGAACCTGCGAAAAGAAACATATCTGTTAAACACAAGCCCGGCCAAAGAGAAACAAAATATCAACTACTATACTCACTAAGTGTTGAAAACTTCGCCGGGACTGTAAGGGGTGCCAGGGGGTCCCCCTCCATTGTGTCCCATCGCCCCGCTGCCCAGCACCAAGAGCTCTTCCATTCCTTGATGGAGCTCGGCGGATCGATCACAAATGGAGTGTGGGAACCCCATGACATCAGGTAGTACCAACCCCGGGTCTTATCCCCCCCCCGCAGTAACCTTGGGTATGTAGAGAGTCTGGAAAACGGAAAGGGGCATCTCCACTCCTAACGACGCCTCTTTCCACAATATCCAGGAGCCCACCATTTGGCTCCAGGAGTTCGGATTGAGCTGCGTCGGGGCTAGCCCGTAAGACCTAAGCACCAACCTAAAGAACGGGTGAATAGGCAGCCTAAGTCCGACCCTAAGGATCGCCTCACTAATAGCCACGCAGCCCGACCTTGGGTAACAAGCTCTCTCTTCCGGCCCTGGGAGAATCAGATCCACACTGTCCGGGATCCTATATTCTGCCCTAAGTCTACCAAGGTCGGCCTCCCTCAACTTTGATGGGTAGTTCGACGCCCCCCAGTGCACAGAAGTATCCGGAGGGCTATCTGGTCGCTTCCACATGTTTTTCCCCCCCATTATGGCCCCGGCTATTTCTGAGGAGGTCGCCACAATGGGCTCGTCCACCCTCACTATCTCTAAACTCCTACCCATACCAGAACTCCCTTTCGAGGCCATTCGTTAAGAAATTTTTAGAGTCTAAATGGGTACTGAAACTTACGGGTTTGGAAGTGTTTCCTAGCCGAAAATGGTGCAAGATCGCCGAAAATATCGCTCTCTCTCGCCGGAGTTGCTTGTAGAACGCCGAAAATCGCCGAAAATTTGGGAGAAAATTTTGTTTTTTCGTATGGCAAAGGTAGAAACTCTGATAAGCCCCCAAAGTTCACCTTTTATAGGAAAGACAAATCCAATCTCCGCCGTTGAATTCAAATACGATCAATCTAAACCGTTCGTTGTATTCTCGATCCCAGCCGTTGAAATGAAACGCCAGATTTGATCTACGCCCAAGATGTCGCTGTGGCTTTCACGCTAAATTGAAACGCGTCGCCTCGGTTACCAACAGCCGTCAATAATAATTACTGGCCGCAGCAGCCTTCTAGGGGAATGGGCGTGGTACCCAACTGTCACCTTGGAAACACGCAACAGTTGTCAAATCATTGGACTTCTGGGTCGCCTCGGATGATCTCCTCCCCCAACTTTACAAAGCTTAGCCGCAACCGATGCGAACGCCCCAGTTGCTAATCGCCTCGGGCGCTGCGTTCCCTCCATTGCTTTACGAAGTTCTAGCCATCTCCCTACGCGTCGACCCTTTTTCGCCAACGCTTCGGCGAGAAACGAGTCCCCAACTTTACAAAGCTTGGACGCACCCGATGCGAACGCCCCGTTTGCTATCGCCTCGGTCGCTGCGTCCCCTCCCATGCTTTGCAAAGCTTGAGCCGTCTCCCTCTTCCTGACAACGCTTCGGTGAAGACGAGTCCCTAAAATTTTTATGACGCTTTAACGTACTCGACGCGAGCGTACCATTGGCTCATCGCCTCGGCTCTGCGTTCTTCCCATGCTCTACAAAGTTTCAGCTACCCCCATGCTGCGATCCGGTCAGGAAAACAAATCCACGTATAATATAAATATTCATTCTCAGATTTGGGGGACCACTGTTACGCCTCATTTTACGAGCCTCGGTACCGAAGTACCGAAGTGTCATCTCGCCACTCCGAAGCCGGTGAAATCAAATAGACCACTCCGACCTCCCGAAGCCTCTCCAAAGTGATACACCGATTCCTGTCACTGATCTGCCGAAGTGTCCCGTCTCCGAGGTCGGGTTCAATTGGACCCCCGTTAGAAGATTCGCTGCCAATTTAAGATTTGCTCTGCATATAAGGTTTAAATTGATTTGACGTCCCCCATAAAGCTATTTGATGTGACTTATCAACTTTATGTCAATTCAACTCGGGGGAAACAAACTGTCCGCCCACTCTACAAGCGCGGCCGATTGACGCCTATGAGCAGACGCTTCATACCGTCAGATGTATACACGTGTTCCACATCCCACGGTTCATACCACCTATAAATACCCAAAGATTGGCCAGAGGCAAAGGTAATGAAACTCTCAATAGATAGCACTCCATAACAAGTTTATATATTCTCCTCCCCCTTTATTGACTGATTGATTTGCGTAGTCCCTGGACACTGTTCCGACCACCCAAACCTGACTTGACCGTCGGAGTGTATACGACCGCCACCCCCGTTGGTTCCGGCCGTGTGCGCCTGACAGTTTGTTCATCTCGTAGGGAGGAATACGTGGAGTAGCTGCAAGTTGGCCACGTGGAAGAGCCATTTTTAGAGGTCAACAGTTATCTCCATGCATTTAAGGGAAAATTAAATGTTTGCAATTTTCACAGTTCATCACATTTAATCAAGAATCAATAGCAGGAACAATAACATATGATAATGCGTGTTTTTCTGCTAGTTGATGCCCAGATGGTACAACTGCATGTAACTTAAGGTCTGTATACTCTTATCGTAAATCAGAGAAATGAGATGTCCACAAAGGTCACAAATCAAAGACTCACATATCCAAGTTGCTGCATGAGTAAATTATTCTGATGCTCAATACGGTGATTAGTATCCACGATTCAACATATATAATTTCTGCATTATATTCTTCTAATGTAAACAGAACAAAGCAAATATATAGAAGTGATAATCAAGAGGAAGCAAGCGAAGTTTTATGTGTCACCTCTCACAAGTTACCAATTTCACGAGTGCCTGTTTGTTTTCTCCGGCTTCACAATAAGAAAAGTTTACCTACACATACAGTTCAAAAAGGGAAAAAAGGGATTCATTGCAAAATCCAATAATGACCAAGAAAGGCCCAAATGTTTGACATAAATTACTTTATCATTCCTATTCATTCATCTTCACCACACGAAGTACCTCCAAAGACAGAATTGGAGAACATAAATATTGCAAGAATGTAAAAACTTGAATTCAGCATAGCAGCTCTCATTTTATGCAGGCAATCAAAATAGAAAAAATTAAGGGAAGAGGCTCTTTCTACATTTATTTAATGGCACTAGACCTTATTCTGAAAGCAAGTAAACCATGATACTGTAAGCATTCAGACTGCATCTAAGGTCCATCATTAAAAGGTTAGATATTCAATTTTATCACCAGTCAGAGCGTCTAAGCTCCTATAATTGCACATCTAG